TCATAATTTCGGTGAATAATGTGCAAATATATGTTTTGACTGAACACGATGGTGTGACTCGACTCTGACTTGCTGAATCTAAATCATGAATTGCATGAAATTTTAGTGTGACCTTGACTTGAGTTGCTTGATTTTTGCCACACTAACTTGGTACTTGCTTGAAACTTGAGGGTTAAGACTTGAGAATGATGACTTGCACGTGTGTGACTTATTCCCACTTCTGTTGTTTCTCAGTCATCTTCTGGGTAGTATTGATGCTGTTGGTCTCCAACATGATCCGACTGCTGTTTTTGGCGTGCCTCTACCAGCAACTGGCGGTGGTGAGCAGTGGCCAAAGAGACGACATGAATGGACACAAGGGTGCAAAAATGGTGCCCTTGCGTCCTTTTCGGGGGAGGGACAAACGTGGGTGTAGCTGGGCTGCGGCGGGTGAGGGCCACGACATCACCCTGGTGGTCACCTGCGCTGACCGGGGGTCCGCTTCTATCTGTGAGTACACCGCCACGCCCTCCTCATGCCCCGGCTACACCGCCGATGCCAAACTGTACTGGAAGCAGATAGGTCGGGCGCTCCGGAGGCACGGGGCTTTGTGCCAGGTGGGCGGCGCGCCTGTTAGAGCAGCGGTGTGCAGGCGTGCACCTCCGGAGGCTCACTTCAGACTTCGGACCAAAGAGGCTCTGCCCATTACCTCAGTGAAGTCGTGCATCCCTGAGAACCGGAAGTTGGCTCGGGAGTACTGCGAAGAGGCCTGGTCTGATTTTTGCACCTTTTTGTTCACTATGGTGCAAGGTGATGCATGCTGACAAGTCAACATTAGCTACACAAAATTTAAAATGCCGTAGACAGGCTAACAAGCATCATCGACAGTCGTGGTGTAACCAAGCGAAACCTTGAGACAGAGAATATAACAATACTCATAGGCACATATTCTTTATCCTCAGCTAACACTACTGCAGTTTACTGAGTCCGTTGTGACGGTTTTCTTTGTATCTTTCTCAATGTCTCCATTATACTGCTCCCTATTGACCAAGGCGATGACGAGGGAGTGTGTATAAGCTGCATAGTTTCAGGTCTAATGAGCTTGTGAAATCACTAACCTTGATGTGAACCTTGAAAGCTGTTTAACGAGAACAAAGTACAGAGGAGATTAAGGGCGAGTGTTGTAGGAATGGTTGTAGTTAATGTTTGGGTATGGTTGGTTGAGAGTTTGGGGAAGTGTTTCGGGTAGCGTTTGGGGTGGGTTAATGTATTGTACGGACCAGACCAGGGATGGGCAACTTGAAAGCTGGAAGGCGCCATCAATTTTTCATCAGTGCTACTGATGCACAAAATACATTCGCTTAATATGATATTAATAATTCACTTCCGAATTCAATGAGAACTTTTGTTTCAAAGCAAGCGAATTATGGGGACCTCTGCTAATGCTTCAATATTGCCTCAGACACAGACTGGTTATGAGAGGCTTAATTAGTCTCAGATAACAGAGAGATGATTTGACCAATAGGAAATAAATGAACAATTCAATTTGTATCATCATAGACAGTTATCATGGAATCAGGAATATGAGTGATGCAATTAGGTTCTCTTAAGTGTGTTTAAATTTGTGCATCGTAAGAATTGTGTTGATTTGTTTTCTGTTGCCGTCATTTGGATTGGCTTTGTTGTTGCGATATCATAATTTGCTGTATAATACAAAACATTTCAAAGAAAATACTCTGTGTGCTGTGGTGTGTTTTTCCTCAGTCTGTGTGTGTGTGTGTGTGTGTGTGTGTG